ATGTTTGTCGTCCCAAGAGTCCCTACCACTCTTACCACTGCTGAAATTCCCGCAATCTGTATCCCTAAGAAAAGGAAGGATTAAGATTACGAGGATAAGAGGAGAATCAAAATTGATCAAAAGGCCAAACGGTTGTTGATAATGAAGATTCCTAATGAGATCTTCCAATCCCTAGATGCTTGTGAATCTGCGAAGGATTTGTGGGATCAGCTTGTAAATAAGCTTGAATGTGGAATTAAGATGAGGTGGAATAGACGTGTTCAATGCCTGATTGGGTATAACAACTTTCAAGCTCATCCTGATGAATCCCTGGAACAAACTTGTCACAGTTTCAACACACTAATCAACAAATGCAAAAAGTGTGATGTAGTTAGAACACAGGAAGAGAACAACATGTTGTTCTTGAAAATACTGAATGAAGAGTGAGCAAACCGGTCTATGTCTCTCTAGGCCAACCAGGACTTGGAGTAATGGATTCTGCATGATGTGTATGGGACATTGCAGGCTCAAGAGAAAGAGATGCAGAAGAATAAGGTAGCTTTGGGTGGTCCTCTGGCCCTAGTCTCTGAATCTAAAGAGACCAACTTTATAAGGCCATCCAGAGAAAAGAAGACCAGAAAAAAGAGAAGAAGAGGTAAGAAGGTGTTGATTGCCGAGAGCGAAGAGGAAGACAGGGCATCTGGCTCTGATGATGATGATATTAGTGCCTTTGCACAATCCTTGGCTCTCATCACCAAGGCTTTTACCAGAAAGTTTGGGAGGATAACTTTTGACGAAAGAGGTAGAGTTGGTCGGAGTGATGGGATCAAGAAACAGATGTATGATCCCAAGCAGACCCCTCCATAGATTGTGAATAAGGAGGAAGATCAACCCGAGAAGACCAAGCAGAGCGACAGGTGCTACAGATTCGACAAGCTTGGTCGCTTTGCTGCAGAGCATAAAGGCCCTCTGGTGAAGGATGGTTTGTACTATAAGAACAAGTACAAGAGATCACCGAGGAGCCTTATGGTTGAACAAGAGAATTGAGTCTCTTACTCAACTTTTGAAGATGAGTCGCAAGCATAATTCTGCGGCATGGTCGTGCATAATGAAGATGAAGTAGACGCATTTGTCTTTGACTCTCAGGTTTTCCTCTACATCTGAATATGATCACACAAAGCTTGAACAAAACATAATTCTTTCATCTAAATATAAATCATGATTATCTTCCAAAAATAAAAACAAACACCATATTAAACAAAGTTTGATGGACCAGTTCAAAAGGGAGAGAGGAGAGAGTGGTGATGATTAACCATATTAAACATAATTTAAACAGGTTGATTAATCATTTTTGTTGTGAGGGGTATTAATCATGGATATTATCATTTTTATTATATTAGTTTTAGAGATATACATGAAACAGTTACATTAAAATTTTATAAGTATTATATAAAACAATTTTATAACCATATATGAAACAACTTCATCAAAAAAAAGTATTGTATGAAACAATTTCATAAGATTAAACAATTTTATGAAAAAAATCATAAGATTAAACAATGAAATCGACGGAGGAGGATGATTTGCACGGTTTGTATAAATATGGTTGGTTTGCATATGATTGCTCCTATATATATATATATATATATATATATATATATATATATAGACCTAATCAAATGAGAACTACTTTGTTTGTGGTAACTGTGAGATCCAATTTCAACCACAAATCAAAGGTTAAATTAGAGAATTAATAATTTTGGTAACTTTAATTTAAAATATTAATTAAGGCCATTTTAGGGATTTTTTAAATATCCTCTCTCATCTCTCATATTTCCTCTCTCCGACGAATCTTATTCGGCGAACCTTATTCCAATGAACTTTATATGAACACAAGATACACATTGTAATACCAAAAAAAATTCATTGTATCTGAGCTCTGTATCTAAACTCTTAGTCTTTAATATAATTTTATAGTTAAAATCTTTTTAACTTGATCTTTTCAACTTCAGTAGAGGATCAAAGAGGCTCTGGTTAACTTTCATGTTTGACCAGAATGCCTCTGGTTATATTAAAAATATAATCGTCATATATCTCATCTTCTTATTTTTCATAAAGCTTTGGTTAAGACAAACCATAGGCTCTGGTTGGTCATGCATCCTTGGTTATTTTTAAAAGATGGAGACCAGAAGGTTTGGTTGGTAAGACCAGAGGGGCAACCAGACCTTCTGGTCTCCAATTGGTTTAACTCTGGATTTTTTTATACTTAGTTAAGTGACCAGAGGAGTTCTAGTTGATTATATTACATGTTTATATCATTTTTAAGAATGATCGACTTCATGATTAAGTCTTTAGTGACTTCGTTTTAGTTAGCTTTGCTCTGGTCCTTAAGAGCCAGAGGAGCTCTGGGTGATTTTGCATAGAATAATACAAGGAAACTGAGAATCACGCAAGGACCTGAGTGGTCACATTCCATGTACGGCAAGGAAAAATTTATAACTCACATTTGTTTGCGATATTTGAGTTATATAAAAATGTGTTAGATATATGTAAAATTACGAATATGTTTTTATAACAAGTTTTGATGATTTTCACCTTGTAATTGCATAAAAAAGGGATTTCTCACTAGACTTCAAGGTCTAACCCTCATTCTGTGTATAAAATATGCAGTGCAGGTCAAGTATTATCAAGAGATAAGAGAAACGGAAAAATGTGAATTTTCCTTTCATGTTTGCATGGGTTATGATGAAGAGCTTGTGATTTGTTGAGTTTTGGTATACTTGTTTTATACGCAAGTTACGTACAAGAATATTATGGAAAAATTTGGTTGTAAATTTTGTATTATAACTTCTTGTACTGTTGGAACCAAATGTGTACTGTTTGTCTTTCTTGATATATGAAATACATGGTTATGCAAATATGGATCTTGGGGTGTTACATTAATTGATAATAATCTTTTATATTTCATTAGTTTAGTGTATTGTTAATTTAATATTCACCCGTTTACTTTCTCCCATATACATTATTTTTGGTAACGTAGAGAAAAACATAGTATATATTTGACTATTTTAAATAATAAAAACATCACATAGGAAAATAAAATATATTAAATATAAAGAAACTGTATTTAAAATATCATCTGGAAATACCAAAGTTTTATTTCACGTAATGAAATAATACATTGTCGCTAAAATGAAATAGATTTAGTGTTGTTTGACAATGTGAAAGCAAAACAAAGTTGATGTGATATGTGATGTGATATGTGATGTGAAAATGAAACACTAACGTGTTCTTTCAAATTTAGAGTCTTTCTATCTATATTAGGGGGTGTTTGGGATTGCTTATTTGAAACAACATATGCTTTTCTACAAAAGCACTTAGCAACTTATTATAAGCCAGAAGGGTTTAACTTTTTCAAAAACTCTTTATTACCAGTTTGGCACATTTATCCAAACACTCAAAAATGCTTATTACCAGTACCACACCGGAACTTCTGAGCCTTACATTCCATCTTTTTGGAATCAATTCATGAACTTCTGAGTCACATGTTTAATCTGATAATTTTCTTTTTCCTTTGTGTACCCAATTATCCTTTTAGATCATGTTTGCAATCACTAAGAAGTGAGAAACAAAGAGGCTACATACGACACAGAAATTGATGGTACGATTATGAAGGATTGTGAGGCTCGAAAGTCTCTAAAGAAGCAATCCGATGGAAGATCATGTTTTCATTATTTTAAGTCGATCAATCTCGTCTTCTTGTATCTTTATCTATATTCTTTCTTCTTTTTTTCGTTTTTTTACCTTTCTTTTGTCTTGTGTAACTCAACGTCAAAAACCATAAAAGTGAAAAAAGAATGTAGAAGAAGATATTGTGTTATACGAATAGATTGTTCTCAGATACTCTATAGACCACTTTTTCCGAGTTTGATGTATGATACACAAATGTAACAGCGACTAACGTCTCCAGGAACTTATTATTAAATGTCGAGCTTTGATATTTCAACGATCAAAAAAAGCATCGTGTAAGATTAATGTAGTCCGATTTGATCCATTCGTGAGGGAGCAAATTAAAGAATGCGATGTATCATCCCATTTAGGTGCTTGCTCATCTTGTCATATTTACGTACCAAACACGTACTTCTCGATCTGTATTGTGGAACTTAACGGCAAAGACCATAAAAGTGGAAAACGAGTAAATTATGGATTTGATCCTTTTTTCTTCATTAATTACATAATAAACCTCCATGTTTGCAATTTGTTTTGATCTAACGTCCATGACTCGTTACTTAACTATGAGGATAAATTGGTATTATTTCCTCTATTTAATATTTTTTTAGTTAGGGCCATTTACCAAATACTTATTTGGGTAAGCGCTTATCAAGTCAAATTCTCTTATTGGATGAATATGGCATGTACAAATAATCTTACGTGGTAAGAGCGAAGACACGGACCAAGAGTCTTACCCGATAAGTGATGGCGACGACTCTTACCATCGTTAACGCTTACCGGGTAAATTGTTACAAACGATATCGTTTTTGTAGACTAAGATCTTACCCGATAAGTAAGCGATAGAGTTGAATTTTACCGTCAAGCGCTTACCAGGTAAGTGTTTAGGTAAATGGACCTTTAATTAAATAAAATCCTGATACACACTCTCTCTCTCCCCTTTAGGTTTAACGGAGATGGTGGATGGACATTAGGGAAATTCCAAATTTCAGTTTGTCCTAAAATAAAGGTCCACATTCAAATCTCTCTACCTTCCAATTCTACCATTAATCATGAGACGGTGAAATTCATTATCCAAGGTAGCAAAGTTGTTCTTTTTGGGTAAAAAGTTGATTACCGACAACCCCAACCAGCCCTACACAAAAACCGCCTCCAAAAACACCAATGTGAGAGGACATGTTTTTAACTCATTCAGTGGTTGAGGCTAGGACGCCTCAAAATATTTTTGCAAAGTCAACCCCCCCCCCCCCCAATTGAACAAAGTTGTCTTTTGATTAATCAAAACTGTAATAATTACATATTTTCTAAAACCGATGTCTTTTAGTTACTTTGGGACGGAACGACAATATGAAAAGAAGCTACCGTTACTTCATGAACCAACTCCAGCAAGGACCCGAACACAGGAGAACCTTCGGTCAATCAAGAAATTTTGCGGGATCACTTTTAAGATTCTTGTACACGAGGATCAATGGATCATTCGACTAGTTGCCATCATTTCCTACTAAAAGACATGAAATTTCTAACAAAAAGACCGAGACATTCATTCATATCAAACTTCAGCAAGATCATCATGTTGTTTGCTTTAAGTCGTTCATCAAGATCCAGAAGATGATTAAATTCGATTTCCCACCATTTACGGGTTGTAGATACAAAAACGGCTACATAAACATCTCCAACGGCAGCCAAGAGTTAAAAGCCGATTGCACAGACTTACCTCCACCAAATAAGCAACAAGATGCTAGTCAAGTTCGATGGCAACCGCTTCGCTCGTCACAATCTGCCATCAGAAATTTGTTTAATGTGAGACCATCATAAACAAATTATTCGGAAATCAAAAATCATTAAACACAATGCACAAAATATAGTACAACTAGCTCAATACATCCCATCCTGAGGGGAAGGAACAGATGGATGTATGCATAATAGTAGAGTGGTTGTTTCCACAAGACACCCAGCTTGTGAAAAGTGTGTAAAAAAGAGTTCACCCAAAAAATGAACAAAAATGTTGTCTCCCCGTCCATACATCATGTAAAGACACGTCATCACTTTTAAGAAGAGCTAGAGAATACAACGATGAATTAAATAAATAATAATGTGTCTTCACATGATGAGAAGGGGACATGGGATTTTCAGACAACAGATTTATATTTCAAAAAAAATTAGGAAACTAATTCCATTCTTCCATAAATATCATAACATTGTAGCAACAGATTTTTAATACTCATGTGCATACATGATCTAATAATATTTCCATTTTATAGATTTAATTGAACCACTTATGTATCTGCTTAAGCATCCAGAAAACAAGAATCTTGATAAGAAAAAGAAGTATCTTGATGTGTTAGAAGGTCACACAACTACCTAGCATCGCTTAATCCATCCAAAAAGAATGAACAATGAAAAAGAAGTATCTTGACTTGGTCTTACCACCTATGCTGTTAATTGCGGCGATATCTCGGATAGCAGACATTAGCAAAATTACCAAAATTACGGTGGTCAGATTGTAGTTTAAATTGCGGTAGCGCAATTATCGGCGCAATTTTGACCAATATTTAGGGTCAATTGCGTTCGATATTAACGTTACTTTTTGAGGGGGTTTGGGCTTTATTTTCAGTCTCTGTTTTTAGATAATTGAGCTTTATTTCCAGTCTTTCCTTTTTTGGGCTTTATTTTTCTTAAGTTTAATCTATTAACATAAGTTGGAAGAACTAGGTTTCTCTATCGACAACCTGTTTTAGTCTTTAGACTATCTGTTCTTTTGGGCTCTATTCGGCGATCTCATCTGCTTTTTACGACCACGACCTATGAGTCTCAGGCTCTCAGCTTCTGGCCTCCTTTGGTCAGAAGTACAAGAAGCAATGGCAGGTAATGAACAAGTTGGGCCAAGTACAAGAAATAAAAGGGAGCGCTATAGGGATGATGATGATGATGATAGTGATGATCACGTTGGAGATGGAGGGGGAGAAGGGGAAGAGTGGGAAGCTAGCCTAAACGAAGAAGTGAACGTATTAGATGATGTTGACTCAGATGTTGAACCTATTGCTTGCGATTAGCTCGTTTATGAACACCTTTCCTATTTTGCAAATGATATGTTTATGTAGGCATATATATATATATATATGTGTGTGTGTGTGTGTGTGTGTGTGATTACATATAATTCTAATAAATATTATATGAACCGCTATTTTTAGACCGCTATACCACCGCTATAACCACTATTTCAAATATCGATCCCAACCGCAATTTTGTATTTTCACCGCTATAACAGCATAGCTCACCACTTTCAGCAAAATAACACAACAGATGATTAGAGGGGTTATTTAGCTAAATGACCTTTTAAACAAGTGCTTTTTAATACCATGACCTTCAGACAAGTTTCTAGGCATTTTCAAACCTGTTAAAACGTCATTTAACCAAAAGATCCAGATAAGAGCCACAAATGGGATACAACAATTAGTGGGAACTTAACATCTTAAACCATAATCAAGATCCGGATGCACAAAAAAGAATCTTGGTAATATAACACCAATCAACAGGTAAGGGTACAAGAAATAAACACAAGAAATAATTAGGAGTCCACATAAGGTTTTTTGAAGAAATATAATTTGTCAAAAGAATTGGAATGAAATTTAATCAGAGGGATCTTTATAACCCATGAAAATACCTGTGATAAGCTTTCTTTAAAGCTACTGCTAGTTGTTGCCTGCAAACCTCTCTCTGCAAGCTCATAATACAATGTTAAGCCTTCAGGGCCATTACTTTTATCCTTCTGCAAATATCTACAATAAATCAAAATTACAAATAAGAAAGTAGGTTCTTTTTGCAAGAGTACAATTTTATAGATCTCCAATAATTATTACCTTTGCTGAACAAGTGTTTCCACTGCCTGCTTGGTGTTCCCAAAGATGGTATGTCTTTCATCATCCTGAGACAAACCCAATCGTCCTAAATGTTGCCAAAGGTTTTCTACAATTCATAACCAACAGAAAATAATATCAGTGAAACAAACCAAACCAAACCGAAATTTGGAATTTCCAAATTTACTAAATGAACCAAACCAAACGAACCCAGTATATCCTAACCAGAGGTTTTGGGGAGGGTAGGATGCATGTAGATCTTACCTCTACCCCAAGGTGTAGAGACTAGAGAGACTTTTTCATGAAGCATAATTTAACAAAAAAACAAGTGTAGGAATGTGGTCAGTATGCAAACAAGCAACAGGTACGGTGTGAGGGACATAAGATGAAACAAACATGGCACAGATTGTTGTATCGACGAACTACTAAAGCATAAGGAAAACTACGTCTTGCAAACAGTAGAAGCTGGATAAAAAGACTAAGAACAAATGTGAAGCCAGTCCGATATGATTTTCTAGAAAAACATAAATCATGGTCTATTTGGAGCAGTTGTGATACCTTCAGTAATTTTTCCTCCAGCAAGGTAAACAATACCAATAACAACAAATGTGAAGCCAGTCAAATGCGATTTGCTAGAATCTTCAACGTGTTTTCTGTAGACTTCAGGATTTAGCTGACTTGTTATAATGTATGATTTCGGGTCCGCAGAACCTGAGAAACAGAGACTATTTCATTGTTTTCGGATAGAATATACAGCCTCTGCCCCACAAGAATTCAAACATTACCTTTTACAGATAAAACTCTAATTGCAGTTTCCTTTATTAAAAGTAGTTGTGATTCAATTTGGTCAACAGGATTTTGTTTAGTTTGAATGTATTTGCCAAGGGTACGGGGTACCTTTGACATTTGGTGATAACAACTACATTTGCCATCTAAACTGAGAGATACACGATATATGCACATATTCAGTCATGAACAAATGAACTCAAGAGCATGATGATTCAACACGGCTAAATGAACATCATAAATAAATGTCTACCCTTTATCACAAGAAAACAATCCTAGGAGGAAATCATAATTCTTGTGACGCCTATGAGAAAACAACAGCCTTCCCCCCTCAAATTAACAAGACCAAGAAAATCAGAGTAATAAGTTAATAGACCAAACAATAGCTCACATTAGGACAAAAACGTTATGTTGTTTTACCAACAATATGACTAAGGTTATGGACCACCTCCGGCTCCTTCTCCTAACAATAATCCAAAATTCAACATACTAAAAGCAAAATGCATCAAAAAGTTAACGAAGAATTGAACCTTTATTACATAATTGAGAAACAAATTCATCGTTATACTAAATAGAAAAAACTAAGACAAACTTCGTTGCATTTTGCCCAAAGACTAATAGCACATCTTTGTGTAAAATAATTTACATGTTTAGGGTATGTTTGGTAAACATAGACTGGACAGGACAGGTGAGAGTGAGGTAAGCAGTGGAAAGAATTGTGCAAGGTTTTAGGGTTTTAGTTTGACATGGGTAGTTTAGTAATTTACCAATCTTGTCTCATCTCCTTGAAATGCATTTGTGTCCCACTCGGTCGTGACTTGTCCCGGTCTAAATGTCGTACCAAACATGGGACAACTTTTTGTTTTGTTCTATCTTGTCCCACTTACTAAACGCACTCTTGAACTTGATCTACTTATGAGCAAACCATCTAGGTTCACAGAAATACTATTATCAGTAGTAGCTGCTCACTCTGTGAAGAACGGGGCTGATTCGTAGATGAAGGACGGGAACGTTGGAGCTCCTTCATATCATAGCCAAAAATGCTTGAGAGCTTTGTAGTGGCCTTGTTAAGAACAATAGTCGGAAGGGATCGATGGTGATAGGTTTTTGTGATTAGTTGAGTGAGCTCGTCCCTCTTGATTGGGCATCCAGAATTCTGGTGTGTTTTAAAAAGAATATAGCGTATCACTTCTGCAACAAGCTTGTCACCTTCCTGGACTCAAAACATTTACAGTATTCAGAATAGAAGACTGCAAGCCCTCTTGATTTAAAAGGGAATGACAATGTAGGCATGTATTCAAAAGATGTTATAGGGACGGATTGACCTCTTCAGAAATACCAAACTGCGAGAAATTTACTTCTGATGTTTCCATCCTGAAGCAAAAGCATGGGACATAACCTTGTTACAATTCAAAACTCAGACATAATTCATTGTTATTAAACGAAGAACAGTAAAAATGACAGTAAAGTTTTACAGCTAACAATGGCTGCTCTACCCATAATTGGAGTATGTGAATTAGCTAATTGCCCACAAACCAAGTGTTCTAGGCTTCTTCCTGGAAGTGCAAGACCTTCCACTGGAGCAAGAATTAACTTCTGCTCGTTCTATTTTAGCTTTGTGTGGAAATTACAAGCTTTGGGCTCTGTTAGGTAGCGTTTGGTATGCAGACTGGATGGAACGGGACAGTATGGGATGGACTGGACTATTTGTCCTACGTTTGGTACGATTAGAACAGGACTGGACAAAACTGTTAAAATGACCAGAATGCCCCTGAACGGTGTTTAATGCTATTTTCTATCATATAATGCCCCTGCCCCTGAAACCATGGGTTTGGCATTCTTATAAATACTAAAATTTAGCCATATAGTAGAAAATGAACTGTCAGAACCCTAATCATTTAGATAGTGGAACTGCAAATATTGGAAGTGATTGTGGAATCGATAACCATGGAAGCGAAGATGGAGGAGAAATCGATTGTGGAATCTATAACCATGGAAAAAGATATGCAAAATAGAGGCTCCTCCTTTCACTGGTTCAGATTGTGGAATCGATAACCATGGAAGTGAAGATGGAGGAGAAATCAAAAACCATGGAAGATTGAGGAGAAATTGTACCTGAAATGGAGGCTGGAAATCACCGGACTGCTAGAAATTGATAGCCACAAAGATCAAGACTTACGGACTTGAGTGAGTTTCAAAATAGAACCTATAAAGATAGCTAACATCAAAAAATTTAAAATAAGACCAGTCTTAGAAAGACAAACAATCGTATCAAGAAAAATGTAAGTGACAAACCCAAAAAGGCAGGCAATGTGAAACAGAATCAAACGCTTAGCATTCAATTACCTTCTTTTGCTAGGGTTTTGGCATGAGCCGTTAACGCTAAACTTGTGAAAATTCAATTGCTCTTATCCTTTCTCCCTCCCTCCCTCCCTCCGTCTAGCAGCAGACTTTGCGTATAAATAAAGACTGGAACGGTTAACACAGGAGTAAAGTAGAGTTCGATTTTGTTTTGATGCTCGTATTGGGTACGGATGATTAATGAAGACTTGGACGCACGTATATCGAAAGAATACATCAACATATGGAACTTACGAACCACGTATTAGCTCATTACAACAATGCTGATGCTAATGCTCCTGTTTGCTCCATTTGATAGAATGAAGTTGTTGACAACAGAAAACAAAAATGGACATTTTTCAGAGCAAAAAAGCTCCACAAATCGAGATAGAAAAATAGATAAAAAAGAAAAACCCGGATAGAGATAGACGAAGATAGAAACCGATACAGAAATTCATTGATCGAGAGACCTTACCTGAAGATCGAGATCAAATTATTTCCCCTTTCTTTGGAGTCGCTGCAGTATTTGATGAAAAATAGGGCTAATTGGGGTTTCTATTCCTGTGTTTGATCAAGGGACTGATTGACGGTTGCTCACGATGCCGAATGGTTTGATATAAATGATTTGAGAGACTCTTGTAATATACCGTATAATTGTTTAGTAATTTGTATTATATTATATAACATTTGACAAAAAAAAAAAACATTTTTTTATATATAAAATACTGTTTATTGATGTATATTACTTAAAATTCAAGATTACAAGTAAATTTTTGCATAAGTTCGGCTTGTTAACCTATACTATATTATAAAGCATTTGACAAAAACTCTTAAAAACCATCTTTAATGTATAAAATACTGTTTATAGATGCATATTACTTAAAATTCAAGATTACAAGTAAATTTTGCATAAGTACAACTTATTAAAGCTCTATATTTGAATTCGTGTAACTAACTGCGGATAAACATCAAATATAGGATAAAAATCTTATTTTAAAATATAAAAAATCTAAAATATAATTTGGATAATTATTGAGTTCTAACAGAATACTTAATTATTATTTTTATAAAAAAAATATTATTAAACCTAAATTAAGTTACTTTGTTACGATAAATTAAATTATAATAAAAAATTTGAAATACACAAATAAATACTTTTAAATAGTTAATTTGATACTAATATTGATATCTTTTTTGCAAATTTTATATGATATTTTTAATTTTATATTTTATTTACTCAAAAACACATAAAATCGTATTATATCGACATAGATAGAAAATAAAACGAAACAAATCGATTGTCTCGATGCATTGCACGAGTACCCTTCTATCTATACTATATTATAAAGCACTTGACAAAACTCTTAAAACCCACTTTTTATGTATAAAGTACTGTTTATTAATGCATGTTACTTAAAACTCGAGATTATAAGTAGATTGTACGTAATTACAACTTATTAAAGTTCCATATCTAAATTTGTGTAACTAACTGCAATAAACATAATTAAATACGAGATAAACATCTCATTTTAAATATAAAAATTCTAAAATATAATTAGGATAATTATTAAGTTCTAACAGAATACTTAATTATTATTTTTATAAAATGTTATATTATTAAACCAAAAATAAATTATTTCAATATTAAACTTAAAT